ATTCACGCAGGAATCACGCTGGAAACCGTCCATTTCCAACCAGTACCCACTGTATTTGTATGAAATGTTATGTTTGTGATAATAAATATCTATAGATGGCCAGTTAATATACAAATAATCATATGATATCTTTATTGAACAATGTATTTAATCATTACAGAAAAAAGGACATTCAGCAAAAAAAGGGTTTCAGTGTTCAGAGAGCAGGACTGTTACAGGAAAATATATTAAGTTTGTTGGATGACTAATAAAATTAATAACATTTCTTGAAAAATGTATTAATAATTTGGCATATGTCATAATTACTTGTTCGAAGATCAGTCAGTTAAATTGCAAAGTTACTTTGCAATTTAACAATACTGCTTTTTTATGATAACATTATAAACTTTCCTTTTCTCTGGTACTCCAGTTTAAAAAAGAAATATTTTATTTTTAACCTTACACAATGTGATTACCATGTATTTTTTTTATTTCATGACAAGTGTTCTTCAATAAAGTAACATGTACATTAGTATGTCTTAGAACTGCAGTACAATCAATTAAAAGTGAACCACCCATATCAATAACAGTATTATGTGTCGTGTATTAAGTGAAATCTTTTCTTTGAACATTACCAACAAAAACTTGAGGTAACAGAGCAAATAAGAGCCATGAAGTAAGTGAGGTGGCTCAAGGTTTCACCACTGTCAAAAATACTGACATCAGTGGTCGTGCTGATAGGAGTAGCAGGGGTGGTGGCAGCACAGTGAAAGCCAGAGTCGCTGTCGATTCCATGGGAGGTAAAAGTAACAAAGCCTGGTTCCATGCCTGTGACAGTGTCACTGATCCATCTCTGGTACTTGGACACTCTAGTGTAGATCCCAGGTTTCATTGGTTTAGCACAGCCTTCACCAAAGCTCACAACTCCAGCCTGGACCCATATAGAACTATTTTGGTTCTGTACTACCAGTGGTCCCCCCGAATCTCCCTGTGAGGAAAAAAAAAGGTTGAATGTCTTTAGAAGCTTTTTGATTTTGATTTTTATTAACTCTTTTTACTTTCTTTTCACTCTCAGTCTGAAGGACAGGATTTATTTATTTTCACTTAAATGTGAAGCATCCCTTAAAAAAAAGTTTTAAACATTTTGTTGGGCAATTGTATGGGAATCCTTTTGTAATTATTAGCAGCAATCGCACTAAGTTTACTGTAAGCCCAGCATTAGTTAATTGCTAATTGTTGCTCTGTGTTTACCTTGAAAACAGACTTGAGATGCGTCTGTAAAGCCATTGCCAGAGGGCACAGAACAATCTGTCCTTAAGGAAGCTAAGTTTCTTAAGTGTTTGCTGCAAGATGGTGCTAATCTTCTATACGTCTGTTTTGGAAAGTTTGAAGTCTTTTTCCATCACCTGCCGGGGTAGCAGCAAAAGCACAAATTACTTGAAGGGTATAAAGCTGATAAAGAAAACCGGCTCTGTTCTAAGAACTTCTGACGATGATTTCATGAAAAAAAAAATTCTGCATCAAAAGATAAACATTGTAGACAAACCTGAGCATCTCCATTTTGTCTTTTTTATATCTCATGCAAGACAGAGCAATGTGTCCTTTTAGTCAAGATGGCAACAGAGGTTTCTGTCCCTGTACTTTGAAAATGTGTACTTTGTCTTTTTTTCCCATTTGTATGCTCCAAATGCCTAAAACCAAAGTCAAATTCCTTTTTTGCAAATCCTCTCTTGGTCAATGCAGTTGAATCTAATTTTGACCTATGGCTTTACATAGATAATGCTTATGATAGAACGCAATGGATCCTGTATAGACCCATTTACTGCTTGTAAACAAGGAGGGCTTCATCAACAGTCCAGCAACATAAGTATGTTAACCAGCAGAGGCTTGTTGGTCTATGCCCATTCATTATCTGAGAATAATGAGAAAGTTTGACTTTATAACATAAACTTTTTATAACAAATGGAAATTGGTATGCCTATTTATGCACAGGTGATGAATGGGAATATGATGTTAGCAAAGGCCGTGTTTTTGAGTAACATCAAAGTGATTTGATTTGAACTGATGAAAATTAAAAAGAGAGACCATATCTCTCCTATACTAGCTTCTCTTCACTGGCTTCCCGTTAAATTCAGAATAGAATATAAAATCCTCCTTCTCACATATAAAGCCTTAAATGGCCAAGCTC